TGTACCAAGTCAAGCTTATTGAAGATCAAGATCGGCTTGGGTAATCTAGTTTAGGTTTTATATTATGTGTGTTAGATACTCTAAGCTCAATATCATATACACACACATTTTATTGGTTTCCTTGTATATATATGTAGTCATATATATATACAACACAAGTTTTGGTTTTCATATTTATAAATATGAAATTACATATTTCATATTTATTATTGTGATTTGGTTTATCTACTTAGATATGAAACAAGTATATTTTCATATACATACTCATATGTTTTATTTTCTATTGTATTTGTAAAAATATTGTATTCTTAGTTTTTGGACTTAATAATAATCATATACATATTTTATTAAGTCTACATAATCATTGTGCAAAGTTTCAAAACATGGTTTAGCCTAAATGTCAAAATTCATATGTTTGCATTTTCGTGTTTTGGACTATTTTGCAAAATGGTGATATTTCTCATTTTGTAGCATGTGTATTATCATGTCTATAATCATTTCCCAAAGTTTTTTAATTTTTAGAATTTATTTGATATTTTTAAACAGTGTTTTAAAATCAGTAAACTGTTTTCAAACCTGAATATTTCATATATCAGTTCACGGTCGACCGTCACGGTCGAACGTGATTGAGTCTTTTGCATAGTGGGCAGCAGAAACTTTCACGGTCAACCGCCACGGTCGACCGTCAAGCTGAATTTCTCACGGTCGACCACCGCGGTCGACCGTCGAACTCTCTAGAAGTTTTTCTTTTGTTTTTTGTTCTTCGCGGTCGACCGTCGCGGTCGACCGTCGATTTGACCGTTGGACTCTAACGGCTAGTTCTCCAGAGCCGTTGCTGAGTTGGTTTTTTGGTCTTTTCTTGGTTTTCTCTTGGCTTTGGGGTTTCATATAAATACCCCTTTATACCTTAGTTTTCATAAATAGTCCAAGAGGTTTAACAAAGTTTTTAATCAAGGGTTTAAGTTTGTTTAAAGTGTGTTTATAAGCTTTTAAGCATTTGAGTGTTTTGGTTTTGTGAATCAATTCCACAAGAGCTTGAGGAGATCATCTATTGAAGTTTGAGCTTCCAACTATTCTCCCTCCACCTCTTGATCTATCGAGAAGTTTTCTAAACTCTTATCTAGCTTTACATTTGCTTAATTATTTGATTATCATTCTTTAAAGCTAGTTTTTATATTGAGTTTAGATTTGATTATATTATCTCATTGTTACACATACCCACATTGAGCTTATTGTATTTTCATACATAGTATATTTGGGTTGGTGAGAGTTGTAACAATTGAGTGTGAGCTTTCATTGTGTTCTCATCCATATAGAGAACAATTACTTGTTATATTTGTGCTTATTGTGAGATACACTTTGTAATACACTTGTACACCGAGAGAAGTGTGTGGCGAGAGTCGGGGATAGTCCCAAGAGGAGTGGCGTCGGTTGACGAACCTAGAGAGAGGTTGTAACCGAGCACTTGAGGGAAACACGTCTAGTTCAACACTTGTGAGGGTGTAGAGTGGGATTGCAAGAGTGTGTTGTTGTGAAGTTTTCGGTGAATGTAATGACCGTAAATTTCTAATACGGGTTTAAATAATTTTCTGATATTTAAATATTAAATATTATTTTCCTAAAAGAGTATTTGTATTTTCCCCAATTTCTCTAGAATTTTCTACGATTTAAAAATACGGTATTATGTTATTTTAATATTTTTACTAATTATAAATTTAATTGTTTTGGTGAAATTTTAAATAAATAGTTAATTTTTCAGCATTGTTATTGTTATTGTTATTATTATTTTGACCATAAATTTTAATATTTATTTTGAATAAATTTTATGATTTTTTAAATTATTTAAGGGGGTATTTTTCGCTGTGTTTTTCCTCCCACCGGTGTTCACTCTGTATATCTCTCCCCAATTCACGCAAATCCCTCCGCCTCGTGTTTTCCCCCAGCCCTCAACCCACGTCCTCCCAACCACTCTATCCCGCAAAGTCTTCCTCATTAATTTCTCCGCCGTTTTTACTCTCTCTCCAATCCCACACTCAATCTACCTCTCTCTCTGACACTCTCTCTCAATATAATTCACTCTCCTTATTTTAATCCAACAAATCTCTCTCAATCTGTCGTTTTTTCTCTCCCTCACACTCAATCACCATCACTCACTCTCTCTTCTTATTATATTCATCACTCTCTCTCTCCTCTTTTAAAACCCAAGAAACCACCACCCCCACGAATACAACTCCCCTCTCTCTCTCCTTCGTTTTTCTCCTTCAACAATCCAGCGCCTCCGCCCCGACGAGCCGCCTCTTGCAGCCTCCGCCCAACTCCGTTATTTTAATCCAACAAATCTCTCTCAATCTGTCGTTTTTTCTCTCCCTCACACTCAATCACCATCACTCACTCTCTCTTCTTATTATATGCATCACTCTCTCTCTCCTCTTTTAAAACCCAAGAAACCACCACCCCCACGAATACAACTCCCCTCTCTCTCTCCTTCGTTTTTCTCCTTCAACAATCCAGCGCCTCCGCCCCGACGAGCCGCCTCTTGCAGCCTCCGCCCAACTCCGCACTGCTCCTTCAGCCCCTCGCCCAGCGCCGCTCCGGCCTCCGACGTCGACCCCTGAGCTGACCGCCGCCGCCTCCCTCTGAAACCCCGACTCCCTCTCTTCGTTCTTCACCTCCAGCGCCTCCACGACCGCCCAAACCCGCCGTGAGCTCCTCGTCATTGCTCGAACTCCATCGCCGCCTCGCCGAGATTCCTCAACCGCCGACGTCGTTGTTCAGATCCTCGTCACCACCTCCAGAACCTCCCCTTCGCTGTCCAGACCCGTGTCGACACCCTCGTCAGCCCCAACTCAGATCCGCGAGCCATAGTCCCGTTCGTCAACGCCGATTTGTTCGACACAACTCGAGGCAAGATCTCGCATCCATCTTGTTCTTAAATAATGAATAATATCGTGTTATTATGATGATTAGATACAAATAAATTATTTTGTGGCAATATTGTTGTTAGTATGATGATTGAATATGTTTAAATTATTATTGTGGTTAATACGTATTTTTGAATATCTGCGTGGAATGATGATTGCGAGCGCACCGTGAAAATTAGACTAATAATGTTGTCAATTGTATTTTTAAGAATTCCGGACATGAAATGACCAGTTATGTGCTAAATTAGAATTTATAAAATTTTTATCGAAAAGAAATTAGTTAAGGAAATTTTTATAATAGAAGAATATTACTTTTCATGCCGAAAGGGAATTTTTATGTTATATTATATAAATCTTTTTAATTTTAAATTAGTTATAATGAGAAATAGTTTTAAAGAATAATTTTTGGAAAAAGAATATTATTATTTATGATAGTATGGTTGTTCGTCGTAGAACGCGACATTTTATGTACAAAATGACATCGGTTTCTAGATTTCTTTTTACTGTATTATTATATTAGAGAATACGTAAGTACGAATAAATTGTATGAGAAATTCGGACATCCAGCGGTAAGATAATAATAAAGTCCACTCATGTATTATATTCATGCTGTATCTTGTTTATGCATTTCATGTTCATTACAGTTCTCTTTTCTGCTACATAAACCTGTATAATCATGTTTAACATAATATACTATATTCATGATCTGTTGATGTGTTGAGAACCTTAGTAGTTCATGACTTAGTGGCCTCGTGCGTCATGAACAGACTTAGTGACATGTGTGAGTGCGTTGACTGAGTTAGGTGGTGAACCCGAGTTTCAGTGAAGATTATGGTTGACTGAGAAAAACGAAAAGAGTTGGGTTGGGAAAGTCTTAGTTCGCATGATCGAATGTGATTGTTGACTTAACTTCCAGGCCGCACCAGAGACCTGTTTCGTCCTGGGGTTGGTTTGATGGACCAAGTGACCTGTTTCGCCACTTGGATCCGTGACCTGTTTCGTCACCTGAGCTTTGCCTGAGTCCGGACCGGGCAGAGATCGGATTACGTGTGGTCCTCTAGCCGCCTGTTTCGTGGGATTGGATGCACGTAGGGGATGGTGAACAGTCAGTCTTCCGGTAATGCGAACTTGGACCTATTTGAGAGATGGACCAGTGAGTCTTAGGATGATTAGTATTCGACCCAGTTACCGTTTCCACACAGCTGTATGTTATCATTAGATTTCCAGTTACATGTATCATTGTCCTTCATATTAGTATTATTACTGTCATAGCATGGGTCATACGACCGTTTTATTTGTTCATGTGAGATCTTGCCGTGTGCCATACACGCTGACGTACACCTGTTTTTCTCTGGTGTGCGTCAGACTTAGGAGACGAACAGGTTCAGTTCGATGATGCAGCCGAGCCGGAGTATACCCAGCCGGAGTGTCCTCTCGATAGAGTGGAAGAACAAACTGAAGCCTAGACGTGTTTTTCTTTTATGTAGTAGTGGATGAACATTAGAACTCGTTATCGTTTTATTTCTTTAGTTAATGTTGGACCTTCGTATTTTGGCAGTACTTCTTTATTATGGACTATATATTTTTATTTCTACCTAGACTTGTTTTGTAATAAGGGTATGTTGAACCCATATTTTATGTCTGGGATGATCTGTTGATGATATGTTTATTTCTTCTTCTGGGTTGTCTTTATATTCTTACTATTATGATCGGGGACCTGTGATTGAGATTTGTATATTTAACGCTTAGCGTATTGGATTGAGAAAAAAAGGAAAAAAAAATGATAGTATATATTTCTTCTCAATCTAATACGTCGCGGGCTTGTTCACGTTCCGATTCCCTGTGTTTTGGGAAGCGGGGCGTGACAGGTTTTGGTGGTGGCCCATGCAGGTCCCGGTCCCGAGTTCCCACTAGTAAGAATGTATTGGACGATTCAAATACATATCATTTTCCATCCGTAAGACTACAATTAAGTTCTTATATTATTATCTTAATAACTATGTTTTAGTTCCTATTTTCCAAATATATTGTTTGATTTTAACCTTAATTTTCCTTTTGATCCTCGTTCCCTTCAGAACTATGGTGGGCACTCGTAGTAATGGTAACCCATCCAATGGCAGCGGTCAGATGCCTGAAGCAGATCCGCAGCAGCTTTTAGCGATGATTCAAGGGCTGGTAACGAACCAGCAATTCTTAGCTGGGCATTTGCAGCAGGAGCCTCAGCACCAGCATCCACCTCGCCCAGAGCCTGGTGTTAGAGAGTTTCGATATATGCGGCCTCCTTCTTTCTCCGGTGCCGAAGGATCTCTAGCAGCAGAGGAGTTCCTCAAGGTCACGGAGACTATCCTTACGGTGACTCGTATTCCCCCTGCAGAGTGGGTAGATCTCATGGATGTTCAGCTCACGGATACAGCTAGAATCTGGTGGGCTGCTGAGAAGACACACCTAGAGAGGCCGATTCTGTGGGAAACGTTCACGGATCGCTTCAATAGGAAGTATTTTCCTCAGTCGGCCCGAGATGAGCTCCTGCGTAGATTTGTCGAGCTCAAGCAAGGGGGTCGATCAGTCGACGAGTACGAGGCTGAGTTTTCTTCTTTGAGCCGATATGCTCCCCACTTGGTTACAGACCCTACGATTAGGAGGCATCAGTTTCAAAAGGGTCTGGACAAGTACATTAGGATGGCTCTTGCAGGTAGAGCTTTGGCGACCCATGATGCGGTGTTGGATGCAGCACGGGAGATTGAGAGCGTGCATAAGGAGCCTGAAGACTCACACGTGATTCAGAGCAGGACAGTTGGAACTGTCCGCAGCGGCAGCCGGCCAGTTTGCCCCCACCTCCAGTTCGAGCAGCTCTCCCAGCTCCACCTCGGCCAGCCCCGGCAGCACAGCCTCAGCACAAATCCTATCCTCGAGCTGGGCCTCTCCCTCCACAGCAGCAGCTTTATCAGGAAACACACAGGCAGCAACCTCAGCGACAGATGTTCATGATGTCAGCCGTAGAAGCTGAGGCGAACGACCAAGTTATCACTGGTAAGAATGGTTTACTCTAAGTTTTATTTGCTTATGAACTTATTAGCATTACTAGATAATATCATGGTAGGATTGTTTATGAATACTAAGTTAGTTGCATTTACATCCTACTAAATAGGCAAGGTTCTTGTTTCTTCCGTACCTGCTTTATCGCTCTTTGATTCTGGAGCCTCCCATTGTTTCTTGTCTCGTCGCTTTGCGAAGTATTCGAGATACCGGATCACCCGAGATTTGAGTTCACTAGTGGTAGCACATCGGTCGGACCTGTGGAGTTCAGAGCTAGACCGAAGAAGGTGACGTTAGCTGCGATGCAAGTGGAATCCGAGATGCCAATTGTAGTTCGAGAATTTGAAGATGTGTTTCCCGACGACATTTACGGATTGCCACCGGATCAAGCAATTGAGTTTTCCATAGAATTGAAGCCTGGAGTTGCTCCGATCTCCAAGACCCCTTATCGTATGCCTCCGGCTGAGTTGACCGAGCTTCGGACTCAGTTGGACGATCTTTTGCAGAGAGGGTTGATTCGACCTAGTGTATCGGCATGGGGAGCACCTGTATTACTTGTAGGGAAGAAGGATGGATCCAAACGGATGTGCATCGACTATCGAGAGTTGAATGCGGTAACAGTGAAGAATAAGTATCCACTTCCCCGTATCGATGATATCTTCGATCAATTGGGAGGATCGAGAGTATTTTCTAAGCTGGATTTGAGGAGCGGATATCACCAGGTGAAGGTTAAGGATTCTGATGTCCCCAAGACTGCGTTTCGGACGAGATATGGACATTATGAATTCTTAGTGATGCCGTTTGGTGTGACTAATGCACCGGCGACATTCATGAACCTGATGAATCTGGTATTCTATGAGGTGCTGGACAAGTTTGTGGAGGTCTTTATTGATGATATCTTGGTGTACTCTAAGAGTGAAGCGGAGCATGTGGAGCACTTGCGGTACGTGTTGAAGACCTTGAGAGAGCATCAACTATTTGCCAAGTATAGTAAGTGTCAGTTCTGGCTGGATCGTATTGCGTTTCTAGGACACGTGGTGTCAGAAGACGGCATATCAGTGGATCCGGAGAAGGTATCTGCAGTGAAGGATTGGCCTACCCCTAAGTCGGTGTCTGATATTAAGAGCTTCCTGGGATTAGCTGGTTACTACCGTCGCTTCATCAGAGATTTTTCGAAGATTTCGGAGCCGATGACACGACTTACGAGGAAGGATATTAAGTTTGTCTGGTCCGACGCTTGTGAGCAGGCGTTTGAGGAGTTGAAGTCTCGACTGATTTCAGCCCCGGTCTTGACAATACCAGATAAGAGTGGGAACTTTGAGGTGTTCTGCGACGCATCAGGTAGAGGATTGGGATGCGTTCTTTAGCAGGATGGTCATGTGGTGGCATATGCTTCTCGACAGTTGAAGAAACATGAGCAGAATTATCCTACCCATGACTTGGAGTTGGCTGCTGTGATTTTTGCCCTTAAGCTTTGGAGGCATTATCTGTTAGGAGAGCAAGTGAAGGTGTTCACTGACCACAAGAGCTTGAAGTACATATTTACTCAGAAGGAGCTCAACATGAGGCAACGCCGATGGTTAGAGTTGATGGCGGATTACGACATTGATCTTCAGTATCACCCTGGTAAGGTCAACGTAGTACCAGATGCATTGAGCCGATTGCCGACGATCATGACCCTCACGGCTCAGTGGAGACTCCAGCAGGAAATGAGGGATATGAGTATAGAAGTTCTTCTTCCAGGAGTCACCGCTTCTTTGATGAATCTTCAGATTCAATCAACACTGATCGAGCGAATCAAGGCAGCTCAAGCAGGTGACCCATTTCTTCAGAAGTACAGAGAGTTAGCAGTGGCTGGTCTACGACCGGAATTTGTTATTTATGAAGACGGATCCTTACGATTTGGGAGTCGTATCTGCGTACCAGGAGGAGATGTTCGAGAGGAGTTATTACGGGAAGCTCACAGCTCACCGTATTCTATTCACCCTGGAGGTACGAAGATGTATAAGGATCTGAAGCTAAACTTTTGGTGGCGTGGTATGAAGAGAGATGTGGCTCGTAGTGTGGCTAAGTGCCTTATATGTCAGCAGGTGAAGGCAGAGCATCAGCGCATCGCAGGTCTTTTGCAGCCATTGCCTATTCCGGAATGGAAGTGGCAGCATGTCACCATGGACTTCGTTACTAGCTTACCTCGGAGCACTAGACAAAATGACGCTGTTTGGGTGATCGTAGATCGATTAACCAAATCGGCTCACTTCATTCCTTTCCGAGTGGGACAGTCGACGGAGCATCTTGCTCAGAGATACATGGAGGAGATCGTGCGATTGCACGGAGTTCCAGTGTGCATCGTTTCGGATCGCGATACCCGATTTACCTCAGAGTTCTGGAAGAGTTTGCAGGCGAGTCTTGGGACCAGTCTCAGTTTCAGCACAGCTTATCATCCCCAGACCGATGGACAGTCAGAGAGGACCATTCAGATTTTGGAGGATATGCTTAGAGCTTGTATGCTTGACTTTCACGGGTCGTGGGAAGATCACTTGCATTTGGTGGAGTTTGCATACAACAATAGTTTCCAGGCTAGTATTGGAATGGCCCCTTTTGCAGCACTATATGGCAGGAAGTGCCGCTCTCCTTTGAGTTGGGACGATGTTGGTGAACGGGAGATTTTTGGACCAGAGTTGATTGAGAGATCAGTTGATGCAGTCAGGATTATTCGGGAGCGACTTCGCATAGCACAGGACAGATTCAAGCATTGGGCAGATGCGAAGCGCCGGAATTTAGAGTTTCAGCCAGGAGATCATGTATTCCTGAAGATTTCCCCCAACCGAGGCACCATTCGCTTTGGAAGGCGTGGGAAGTTGAGTCCGCGATATGTGGCACCTTTCGACGTATTAGAGAGAGTTGGAAAAGTGGCGTACCGACTTGCATTACCACCCGCCCTGGCTGGAGTGCATGACATATTCCACATTTCTCAGTTGCGAAACGAGTCATGTCGTAGATTTCTCGGAGATTGAGGTGCGATCTGATTTGACATACGAAAAGCAGCCTGTGGCGATTTTAGACCGAAGGGAGAAGACCCTCCGGAATAAGACCGTTTTGCTTGTCCGTGTGATGTGGCACCCAGATTCTCCTGGAGAGTCGACTTGGGAAACTGAGTCTGAGATGCGACAGCGATACCCTCATTTATTTCCTGAATCTTAGCTGTCTTGTCTTGTATCTTATTCTGAAACGTCTTGTATGACTTTTCCTATTTATGGATATGCAATATATTTTGAACTTATATGAGTTGAATGAATCTATCTTTATATTTTATCCTTGTTATTTTAATTCCGAGGGCGGAATTTGTTTTAAGAGGGGTAGGATGTAAGGATCGTAAAATTTTGATATTAATTAAAATAATTATCTAGTATTTTAAAATATTTAAATATGATTTTTAAATCTTTTCCCTGCCTCCGACCGCCCTGTTCGCAACAGCCGCGACCACCCTCGCCCCCTTGACCTCCTCCACCTCCTTCTCGAGCCCACCCGCCAGCCAAGCTCCGCCGCGAGCTCCGCCTGAGACGAGCGCACCCCAGCGACGTCCGCTCCAGCCGCTCACCCCCAGCTCCTCCTCCAAGAGTCGCACCACCACTGCTCCTTCAGCCCCTCGCCCAGCGCCGCTCCGGCCTCCGACGTCGACCCCTGAGCTGACCGCCGCCGCCTCCCTCTGAAACCCCGACTCCCTCTCTTCGTTCTTCACCTCCAGCGCCTCCACGACCGCCCAAACCCGCCGTGAGCTCCTCGTCATTGCTCGAACTCCATCGCCGCCTCGCCGAGATTCCTCAACCGCCGACGTCGTTGTTCAGATCCTCGTCACCACCTCCAGAACCTCCCCTTCGCTGTCCAGACCCGTGTCGACACCCTCGTCAGCCCCAACTCAGATCCGCGAGCCATAGTCCCGTTCGTCAACGCCGATTTGTTCGACACAACTCGAGGCAAGATCTCGCATCCATCTTGTTCTTAAATAATGAATAATATCGTGTTATTATGATGATTAGATACAAATAAATTATTTTGTGGCAATATTGTTGTTAGTATGATGATTGAATATGTTTAAATTATTATTGTGGTTAATACGTATTTTTGAATATCTGCGTGGAATGATGATTGCGAGCGCACCGTGAAAATTAGACTAATAATGTTGTTAATTACATTTTTAAGAATTCCGGACATGAAATGACCAGTTATGTGCTAAATTAGAATTTATGGAATTTTTATCGAAAAGAAATTAGTTAGGGAAATTTATATAATAGAAGAATATTATTTTTCATGCCGAAAGGAATTTTTATGTTATATTATATAAATCTTTTTAATTTTAAATTAGTTATAATGAGAAATAGTTTTAAAGAATAATTTTTGAAAAAAGGAATATTATTATTTATGATAGTATGACTGATCGCCGTAGAGCGGGACATTTCATGTGCAAAACGACATCGGTTTCTAGTTTTCTTTTTACTGTATTATTATATTAGAGAATACGTAAGTACAGATATTTTGTATGAGAAGTTCGGACATCCTAGCGGTAAGATAATAATGAAGCCCACTCATGCATTATTCATGCTTAGATATTTCATGTTCATTATAGTTCTCATTTCTGCTTTATAAAATTATTTAATCATGTTTAACATGCCATTTTGTTTATGCATTTCATGATCATTATAGTTCTCATTTCTGCTTCATAAACCTGTTTAATCATGTTTAACCCGTCATACTATATTCATGATCTGTTGACGTGTTGAGAACCTTAGTAGTTCATGATTTAGTAGCCTTGTGCGTCATGAACAGACTTAGTGACATGCGTGAGTTTAGGTGGTGAACCCGAGTTTTCAAATGAGATTATGATTAACTTAGAAAAACGAGAAGAGTTGGGATGGGAAAGTCCTTGTTCATGTGATCGGATATAGCTGTTGATG